AAAACAAGTTTTCACTTCAAGGTGCTTGAACAGCGTGTTGCGAGAATGCCACGCCAGCCAGTGTTTTCTGCACATTGGTCTTCAAAGTCACGGTAAAAACAGCACTTTTGACTAGTGGCTCCGCACACGTCCAAAGACAGATGCGCAAAAATCCCGAGAAAAAACAACGTTTCCCCAAACCCGGTGCAAACCCTCAATGCGCAAAAACCCCGCGGTCACGGTTGACGCCGTGACCCGGTTTCAGCTTGCAGCTAAGCTTCACCAACCACTCTTTGATCTTCCTCATTCGGCAGGCGATTTTTCCCGTGTCGCTTACCAGCCGTCATCCATTGTTAAGGGCACATAGCCATGCTTGTAGACATCGGGTATGATCGTTACGTTCTGATATCAAGCACATGTCAGTCGCAAAAACTCTGGAGATCTTGAAAGGCAGATAGCTGAACATGCAGTCACTTCACAGCTAGACCGTCCAAGCGTCCAAACATGAAGGCCTCGCACTTCGAAATGACCCGCGCGAACCCGCACAGGAGCTTCACAAACCTGAGTTCAAGAAGCTGGAGGCATTTCATCAAAGATTCTGTTCGGTTGCAGATGCTGCACATCTTGCTGCTCGGTCAGTTCCCTTTTATCATTCTCCATCATGAGCTACGCACTCAAACGAAAAGTACCAGACCTACCCCCTCCGAACATGGGCCTCGACTCGACACTTCCTGCACTGCCCAAAGCCTACAGGCACTGGCGCGAAGATGCCTGCATCAGCTCCTTGCGCATCGCCTCGATGTCACCGAAGAAATGGTGCACGACTGTGAGCACCTTTTGCGATGAGCAGAAACCTTTCGCGCTTCGCCCTCGTCGGTGCTCCGCTCTCGCAGGATTCAAGTCCCAGATGTTTGAACCAACGGCAATGGGCAAGTTGCCTGGGAAAGTCAGCTACGAGTCGGGAGATGAACCTTAAAGAGACTCCCTAACCAAGTTCAGATCCTCTTCGCATGGCCAAGCCCTCCCCGCCTCGGCCCCCGCTTTTCGGTACCGGGTGTACCTGAGAAAGACTGATGGAGGGGAGGGGGACGGTTTAGGGTTTAGGGTTTTCGGGCTCAAGGCGATGCCTCAACTGCACGTGCGTCGCTTGCTTCACACGCTTCTGCCTGGCTTCTGAAAGCCAACTCTCGGCACGCCCCTTGCAAAGCGCGGTACACGGGCAGGTTGCCGTTGTGGCTGCGAAGCACCTTTGGGTCGCCAAGATGTCAGATGTGGCTGCGAGCATCTAGACTCTCGGTGTCGAAATGAGATGGTTTATGAGAAGGCTGAGGAGGCGGACGATGATGACGATGATGATGAAAATCATGTCGACCTAAAGGACGGGAGGAGGAGGAGGAGGAGGAGGAGGAGGATCAACCGGGCAAGCAGTAATCGCATGACGGTTTCACCGCATTTCGCCACCTTCCAGGGCTTCATGGGCTGGTCCTTTTCGATGGGCTCGAAAGGCAGCGGACTGTTCGGGTCGTCGTAGGGCGAGGTGATGGAACCCTCACCGGGCACCAGAAGCCTGAGATGAGCACCAGTCAAGATCCGTCCCCAAATCTGAACTTCCCGGCTCTGCGGCTTTCCACTTAATGCTTCGGGCTGGAGGTTGCAAAGTTTCAGGGGAACCCCCTCCGTTCAGGCAAGGCACGAGTTCAATCGCGGCACGGCCCCGCCGACGGGGCTTCGGATTTTCATGTCGAAGCCGCCCTTCCTGGAATTTGAAAACGGAAGACGGAGGCCCCGACTCTCCAAGCCACCGTGCAACCCTCAGGAAAATGTCTTCTCCGACAACAGAAACAGAGTGGACTCATAGATTACGACAGAAAGACGCGGTTGAGGGTTTTTTAGGCTTCATGCTTACCTTCGGTCGACAGGCAGACAGACCCTGCACGTTAAAGCCCGTTGTCGATGGCCCCCCCTGTCTACTAGCACTGGTCATATTCTTTCATATTCTGTACTGTACTGATACACGAGGGACAAGCACCTCCAGAAGCTCCATCAGTTCTGTTCGTGCGGATGCCCAGGAGAAGCGGCCACTTCACGGATGTGCACTTCACGGATGTGGAGGGGATTACTTGCGATGTGGAGGGGATTGCCCCGCTGCAAAGGCCGTGCATGGTTGGAGCCCGACACAGTCGATGGCCGTCAAGTCACTACCACCGCAAAGTTCCTGCCGACCCGGCCTCATAGAACTACTACGACTGATCTTCAGGAGCCAAGGCTTCGTATCAGTTTCCTTTGCTGTGTCAATGTCTGCCAATTTGCTGTTACTTCTCGCATTCACATCGACACCGCGAGATTCGGCACGATGGCGATGATGGGCTGGCCCTTACTACCACGAACATCCTGCGAGCCGCTTTGAAAACACAAGCCGCTCAGATGCATGTAGTGGCTGCACCCGACCCTGACTTTGTGCTCTACAAGAAACAGTATGCACGTACTACTCTGTATGTATAATTCTTAAGGCCACACTGCGACATGTGAACCGAGCATCCGCGGCTTCGGGGGCGGAAAGCCCTGGGACCAGTCGCGCTGGGGGTCTCTCCGCGTCATCGCGGGCTTCCCACCGGGAGCCACATCCTGCACTCTGCTAGGGCTTTGCGGGCTCCGGAGCCTCCGGGACCTAGAGAAATCCGGTTCATTGCCTGTTCGGGTCCTTGGCTCGAGGGAGTTTTGTTTGGGATGTGAAGCCGGTCTTGGAGCGCCCCTTATGACTGCTCAAAGCAACCTCGTGGGCGAGTGCGGCGAGTGTGCACGTGGATCCTTCAGAAAGGCTTAAACAAGACCTGCCCTGCGTCCTCTACGCTTACCACCAGAGGCACAGGCTGCGGCCGCATGTTGCGGCGCGCGAAGGCCCGGCATGGCACCTTACTCCCAGGCATCCAAAAGCCCTTGCACGACGTGTAGCTTCTCTCGTGAGCTCTCAAGGGTTGTGCTAGAAGCTGCTGACACCGGAATGTGAGATCCCATGCGATTGGGCGCTGGACGAGACGACAGCGCAGCCAGCCAGTGGGCAGTCGGGCTGCCAGGGCTATCGCCATCCCATGGCTCCCAACTCTTGCTCTGCACTCACAAAGCTCTCGCTCGTCTCTTTCCGGATTAGGGCCTTCTCTTACAATCTGACAAGCTAAAAGCTGTAAATGTCGAGTATGAGGAAGCTCGAAAGCCTGTACTGCACTGTGCTCAAGTCTTCCTCCATGGTTTCAGCCAAGACTCAAGACTCTGATCCTCTGTCAGAAAGCCGCTGCACATTATTCGCTTCTGTGCTATCACTCTTCCTTATCACAGTCAAGCGTCAAGTGCCCTGTCTCTCCTTCTTACACACAGACAAGAAGGGCAGAACCCCTCTGCACGCGAACGTTCGCTGGGCTCGCTCTCTCGCTCTCTCGCTCTCTCTCTCTCTCTCTCTCTCGCAGAGATTCCTGGTAACAACATCGATCATGACAAGAGGCATGCAGCAGATGCATTCACAATGCCTGAGTTCGAGACTCGCTGACGGTAGAACCAGCCACGCTTTATCTCCTGGAAGTTGGTTTTGGCCCTCTGCCATCGCCTAAAGCTAGTAGGCTTCGTGCTCCCTTTGCTCGAGTCTTCTCCTCTTACGACCAGCGAAGGGTTCGCCCTCTGCGTGCCCCGGCACCCGCCACCCCAACCCGGCCTCCACGTCCCTCGCCTGGACATCGGCACGGTCCCCCGCGGCCACGAGGTCGAAGTCGCGACCGGAACCGGCTAAGACCTGAGGAGCCGTCCGAGAAGCCCCTTTTTGTTGGGCGAACAGGGCAAGGCTTCACATGTCAAGAAGCTTCGGTTCAAGACATTTCAAGACACAAGTGACAGAACTCTTCATATCTTGTACTGATCAAACACGACCTTCTTGCAGCCTGCGAAAGCTCCGCCGCAACTCCAGCCAATACTCCATCTCAGACCCCGAAACCACACGGGCCTCCTCGCAATCCTCCTTGGCTGGCACCTCGGAGGTTGCGTTGCAGGCATGGGCGTTTCTCTGTCCATCGCGCTGGAGTGCAAGAAATGGCAGTTACCATCTAGGAAACCATCGATCCACGCCGGAGGTTGCAGAAACAGCTTCTCAAGATGGTTCGCGAGGCAGGCTAGTTCGAGTGAATGGGGTCGTGACTAGAACCGAGACCTGCCGGACCCCTTCCCAGATGAGGCAGCGACCTCCGCGGGAGTCCCTTCTACCTCAGGGCACGACGGGTTTTCGAAGGGCGTGGCGGCAGAGGATGTGTGTCGTGTTGGAAAATGAACTGTTGAAAGGAATCATCTCTGCCAGCCAAATCCGGCAACACCCCAAAAAACCCGAAACACCACCTCTTAAAACACTCCATGTAAAGTGACTGCACTCAGAACCGCAGCATCCCCCAAATTCACCAGCTGCCGCCTGCTTCTCAGCTCCACTCCCCGCAGGCTCAGCGCCGTCCTGGCATTCTGGGCCCTTCCACGTCGAACTCTGACGATTTTGAGCGGAGCCGCTTGCTGTCGGCATCTGCGTCCATGAGAATACTGTACGAAGAAGACAGGAGCACTTGTGCGGCAAGCGGTATAGGATGCGGGCGTGCAAATTTAGCAAGGTTTGCTTCAAGATCGGGCTTTGATATTCTGAACACGAGACGACATTGAAAAACCTGGCTCTGCGAAAATTTCCGTCGCTTGTGAAAGCTTCCAAATTAACGTGCTCAAGGTTGGTTAGCCGCCACTTGGCTCACAACGCCATCTTGCTTGCGACAGCGCCAAACGAGCTGCATGACCACAAGGCTTCACATGAAGTCGACATTTTATGAAGTCATGCATGTCAGGCCTCCATGCTCAACCATCCGCAACAGCAGGGTTGTCTCAGCCGGCATGCGCATTCTAGGAGGAACAAACAGCACTGATGGGATCTGATCGCTACACAAACTCTGTGGCTTTGGAAATAGTTGCTTGTTTGTGCTGTTTCAAGCTCGAGCTCGAACTTTCTGGAGGCCATCGAAGATGTACCTGCTGCACAGGAGTAACCACATGTCACTGTCACTGAAAGCCTTGCGTTGCGAGGCATGGATAGCTTCATTGAAGCTGCTCAACTACCTTCTAAGCACGAAACATTCATGGCTGACTCGACCGCCTGACGCTTAGATGTCCATGTCACGAAATCGGAGTTCTGTGTGAGATAAAACCTCGCACATAAACAAACGATCAAAACATCATTCGCAGCCGTTGTAAAATTCGCAACCGTATGGACTCTGCCGTCAGAGGTTTCTTCTCAAACTATGAACGTACCACGACTGATGCAGGTGGGCTGGAAACTATTCCAGGCCACAGTGACAAAACCCTTAAACTCCCTGTACTGCTAAGAAGCAGACCGTCGACACTCGCAACCCTGGGTGTGGAATTGAATGAAGTTCAAAATTCATCGATTTTGCATCGTTCTGTTGGAAAGTTGACGTCGATCCGAATTTAAAAGCCAAAATGCTCACACAACGACCAAATCGAATCAAGTTTCTATGCGACGCTGCGTTAGTCATTTGAGAATGCCGGCACGTACCTTTGAGAATGTCGGCGCACGTACATTAGCAGTTTGCTTTGGAATCAAGCGGGACTGTACTGGTGTCTGTCAGAATAAACACGCAACTATGCGCACACACAGTTCAGACCTCTAACACAAGATCTCGCCTAATTTTGACTAACAGAGAACTGCCATCTGAACGAGCTGCTAAGCACTTTTAAAGCCTTGAGCTGGCGAATTCTTCAAAGTAAAAAAATTTGAGGGTAAAGAATTTTTTTGCGTGGTCAGGCCTCGTCGACGGCGGCTGCCGCACTCGCTCCTAAGGTAATCGACAAAAAGCAACAAAGACCAAGAAAGCCACTAAAAGCGGTGAAACAAGCTGCGACTTACAGACTTAGCCGCAAAAAGTCGTTCAGCAGTTAATTACCGGTCTCATATGAACATCAGCCCCGCTCAG